TGTATCTTCCTTCCTTTTCCTTACACAATAGGTCAGTACACTATGTAAAGGAGAGTATCCTAATAGTATAACAGTTAGTATACTGAATACTGATAACACAGTAATAAACAATGCCAGTATACCTCGCAGTATACTAACACAAGTTAATGATCAACTGATGATTACTGGAGTAATAACTGTACCTAATAATTTAAATACATTTATTGTTAATGTATCACTGAGTAATAATGGAGGAGAATATCTATCTACACCTTCTTTTGGATTTGGTAAGAAACTATAGCATTGCTGGTTTATTCTTTGCTTCTCTCATTGTTAGGTAAAGTTGGACCAGTTACTAACATTGACTCTTCAATTGACAACTGTTCTACTATTGATATAACATGGACTGCTCCTACAGTTGATGATAGAGTATCTATACTGTATTACATACTAAGAATATATGATGCTATTACTGGTAGTCTAGTGGATACTGTATCAGTAGATGATACTAGTTATCAGTTTGTGGATAATAATTTATTTATTCATCGTTATACATATGTTATAATTGGAGTTAATGAATTAGGAGAAGGAATATCTAATAATGATACATTCTCATATCAAAGAGGTACAATAAACAATAATTACTGAATAAATGATTTTATGTTTATTTAGTACCAAGATCAGTTGAAGAAGCTGCTTCAGATATACTTGAGATAACATTTAATCGAACTAGTGCTACTGCTTCTTATAATATACCAGTAATGTCATGTTATTAATATTACAGTATAAATAATTATTGTTATAGGTCATAGTTGAGTGTACTGGTGAAGCCCCTGGGAATGCTACAGTTACTATACAGTGTAATGGAACTGGTGTTGTATATGATAATATTACAGAAGTGGATGATGCTACACAACCAATGAATATAAAAGGATTAATATCAGTCCCTCAGTATCAACAGTGTAATATCAGTATTGTATTTAGTAATGAGGCTGGTAGTAGTGAACCATTTATACTAGCATTTAGTAAGTATTTAATAGTACTAGTATTCAGTATAATGTTAATGTACATGTATTATTATGTATCATTATTATACAGACACAACTCCTACAATGAACCCTACACTGTCTCCTACTAGTACTGTTGGAACAACTACATCATCTCCTAATTCAATAATAACTAGACCAGGTTTACCATTACATATAAACTGACTTACTTATTCATTTATTGTATTTATAGAAATAATTGGAATTAGTGTTGGTGGGGGTGTACTACTGATAATAACAATACAGATAATAGTGATAGTGGTAGTTGTCATCTATAAGAAGGGAGAAAGTTAGTATCTATTCTTTTAAAATTATTATTTTATTTGTATAATAGGGAAGAAATCACCACTTCTTGAAAGGATAGTATTTGATGGAGTAAGTTACTAAGTCATACTCACTGTATTATATATACATGTATTAGTGATTGTTAGTAAATTATAATAATAGTTACAGCACTCTTTACTGTGCTATAATTAATTTATGGGATATAGTGGGCGCATCAAAGGTGTCCGCCAAATGCACTCCTAGAGAAGTTTTCTTGAGTCTTTGAGATTGAGACAAAGCCAGCACAAACATTTAAAAGCTCGCAAGACAATTTTCTTTGCCATATAACACGGACTTGGCTGCCCGATGATCAATATAAGAACATCTCTGGGCACTGAAAGACAGCAAAAGCCGACAATGGTGGTAAAGGAATATTGTGAGTCTGTTCCGCAACAGGTAGAGCAGTTTCTCTTCTTCTCTGGTCACAAAGAACTTCTCACCCAGTGCTGCTAGCCATTACAAAGCCAACCAACCGACACTCACTTCCGGTGCTGTATGCAATATAACGGAATGGGCAGTGCCTTTGATGCACCCACGTAGTATACTATAAATTATATTAATGTAATTTTATTGTTTCTAGAGTTCTGCTCGTACATCAGTTAGTAGCTATGTATGTTATAAAATAATTATAAATGATCAATTATAATTTAATTATAGAATGAATGTGGAACTTACAGTCAAGCACAAGAACCTGAGGTAAAGCGTTAAAATATAAACTTATTTATTTAAAATAATTTATATAAATGTGTAATATTTGTTGATTATGTATGAAGATGTAATATATTTTAATATATAGCGTACTGATTTTGATGTATCATTTCCAATAACTGTATTTAGTTTTGTCACAGCATG